TATGAAAAAGAAGTTTGCAACGGATAATAGTTCATCCCTTGATTCACTATGCATTTTGATACATTCTGGGAGTCACAATCCCCCTTAACTGTTCTCCGTCATTTCAGCACTAGTCAAATAAGCCATTTCTCCACTGATATATATATATATATATATATGTATATATATATATATATATATTATGCTCAAGAGGGAATTCAGACCACGAAACGGATTGATCGCTCTGTTCTTACACTCAAAGCATATACTAACGTGGGGTAGAGGGTTAAAGCACTTTTCTGACACGTTACATTCCTATTTTTTCTGCTTCTTTCTTGTAAAAGCTGAGCAACATAAATTCCTCATTTGTGCTTTTCATTGGACTGGCGTGAAAACTGTCATTGGATGCACTAAAAAGTGTAATTGCCTAAAATTTTAATTTCCTGACAATGCTGTTCGTAAATGAAATGGGCAGGTAATTTGAACCTGGTTTAGTCATTTATGACTAGTTATGACAATCGAATATTTTTCCTCAAGAAATATTCTAACAGATGGCTACCATATTGGAATGCACTTTATATTCTACGTTGGAAGGCTCCTTGCGTTTGAAATTTACTAACCTATGTTACTATTTATTGTCTACTCATACTTGCTTTGATTTTATTCTATCTAACACAACCTAAATTAATCAGACCATTTGGGGTATTTTTGTTCCCGGCACTCAGTTTATCTGGATGAGGTTGTTCATCTCGTGTTCCCATTTGGCCAGTTATCCTAACACTACCGGAATGGAGGTCATTGTGAACAAGATTATCTATCATACATGCGTAGAAATCTTTTGTAAAACACCCCACTTAATCATTAACCCTAATAATTTGCTCAGCACAGAATACAAACTTGTATTGAGTTATGCACTTCTAAAAGGCTTCCTGGTCAATTCATTCTTTCGTTTGGTAGCTTGCATGCCTCAAGACATACTCGCAGACTTTTCATGCTTTTTACTCCTGAAGTTTTGCAATAGAAAACCTCACTTAGTCGAAGTTCTCTTTCTACCAACTTCATCAGCGTAATGAAATTCATGTTGAATCAGTTTAGCTCCTTCGTGCTGTTATTTTTTCAGCATTCAATCACCTGAGCTGCCGAATTTGGATCAAATGGAAAACGCCATCGCAGACATTGTTGTACTTGCTGTGATTTCATTCTCTGTGAACACATCTTTGGTGAGAATTTTCGCCAAGACTCATAACTACAAAACAGACTGCAATCAGGTACGTGTGGACCACACAGGTCAGTCAGTCACTCAGTGATATTGCTTACACGAAGGCAACAGAAGTGACCATGTTTTCGCTAATCAATAATCATGACTTCACAGTGAATATGATAGGATAAAACTTGTGGGTTAGGAGGGAAACATTAGTATCTGAGTAGTCTATCACTATGTGTATGTATGTAGGTTACCCATCACATTCTCAGTTCTTTGCTTCCTGGAATTTCAGTTTTGTCACACTGCTCGTATAACCCAGTTTTGAGGGATGGGTGTTTTATGCAAATGTGTGTGTGGGCAGGAGGAGGAGGAGGAGGATTGATTCCTAAACCTACGGGAGATGTAGAACATGGCTTGGACGCTTGACCCCCCCCCCAATATAGTTCTGGGGTCAAGTGCTTGATACAGATGGCTTCTCCTGTGGCCAACTTACGCAATTCTAACATATTAAGACCGATTCGGGGGAACCTAATTACCTAATTACCTAATTACATGTACACGTACACGTATGATGATCGATGCCCCATATTTTAATGTTATCCTCCCAACCCCTAGTTTATCCTTTCACATAAAGTGTAATGACATTATTAGCAATTTTTGAGGACAAATATCCACTTTTAAGCATTTATAATTCGACCCAATCAGGTCGACGCATCTTCACATTGTTTCCTAGCTTCTCTGTGCTCGACAAAATTCACGATTATGTTTGCGTCCATGGTGGTGTGGGAATAATACCATTGAAAAGCTATCATATTTTGCTAACTACTAATAAGTAGTTGCTCACGTTATTCCATTATTCCACCATACACAGGATCCACATGTTGTGATTGGCCGTTTTGTGGTAAATAAAACTGATTGAATCTCAACTTTAAGGAAATAACTGGAAAAGGCTTTAAACTGAAATTAGTTCAAGCTTTCAAGAAGCGATATGAGCAGAAAAATGAAATCATGTTTAGGTTTTGAATTCTAAATACAGTCATTCCCCGCTGGCATTATTCATAACATTTTCAAATGATACACTGGTAGATTTTATACTTTTTTCTCAATCGCTCGTTTTTCTTCACTTGCATCCTCTGCTCGTTGCTGATAATCAATGAGTGCCGTAGCAGTGACCTTGAGCACTCTCGTATCACATATGGGCTTCCAGTGTTAGAATCCTTAATTTTCCATTCATCACCATCATGCATATGTGCTAATATTCCTCGCACATTCTCGAGTGTATTCCAGAGAACCTATCTTCATGGGTAAATCTCAGGTTGAAGTCTCACCACTTTCAAGTTCTCGGATATTATTTGTGAGCTGAAAGTCCACCTATTCGAATGAATAAAGTAATTCGTAATTTGCAACAACTTGAACGTTATCATTGTGAGACAATTTTCACATCAGAAAATTATCGGAGTATTCTAAAGTACTCTTGATTACCAAGCAGTAAACGCACCGCGAAGTAGTAAACAAGCCCGTCCTAGTATTTTATCTAACACACACAAGTTTTTATGCAAAACGTGAACGGGTGAAAGGCAAAACACCACTGAGAGACGCCTCCTATGGGTACGACCGGACGGAATCGCAGATGAAGCGCAGGGAGGTTACTGAGTGCAGGAAATGAGCAAACAGGAGATCAGCACTAAGGAGTGAAGGAAACGGGGCTCAACGGGGAGCACAAAACGGGTTGCTCTTTTTACAGAACCTCACTATTTTTGCTGTGGTCGTGGAAAATCCTCGACTCAAATCGGTGGAATAAAACGCACTAGCAATAGCAAGAGAGGAAGAGAAAGAAGGAGCGCGAAACGTTTTAGCCATTTTAGGATCAGGTAAGTTTACAGAGGAAATGATGATACGGGTAGGAAGATCTGTTCACAGGCACACACACACACATCCGTTCAGCCTGGTCAGTTGGCATCGCAAATCTGTTTCAACTGGGTTGCTTTTCTTTTGTTAGTTGGTTTACACGTTGTGCTTCACACAACAGGTAGACCACGAAAAAGGACAGATGAAGAAGGAATCGTGTTTTGGAGTTAGTGATACCTGAGACGGACTGATATGAGTGCGATACGCAATCGGGGTCTATCAAATGGTTTTTTTTCGGTCGTAGTCGATTTGCGAACTTCGATATATGTTACCAATCCCGCGGTTATGGGTGAATAAATGCAGAAGTTGCATTTCTACAGTACCACATGCTTCTACTGAACTAGGCTGATATAGAGTGCTGACCACAATGTGTTATGCAGACCGACATCGATAGCATACTTTGGTGTAAAGTTCACCAAGGCCCTTCCGTATGAATTCTCCAATAGCGTGCACCTATTTTCCTACGCACCAATTTTTGGATAAACTCATCTATAGATCGCTATGTTTATTTCACCTAAACTACAATACTATTCCTTTTCCAGATAATCTAATTCAATGTGTTTAGTACTTTGGATCAATTTAACTTGTCATCTATATAGCACAAACAAAGAACTTTTTCAGGAACTTGCCAATCATACTTACGATTGTCCCTCTAGTGTGCTTTCGCTTTGAACGTCTATTTCTGTTTCCCCGATCGGTGCAGGAACTCTACGCATACGGATTATCGAACATCGTCAGTTCGTTCTTCCAAACCTATCCGGCTGCCGCTAGTTTATCCCGATCCGCTGTTCAAGTCTCGGCCGGGGGCAGAACGCAAGTTGCCACTCTCTTCTCTTCCGTACTGCTGATTCTCGTGCTCTTTTTCATCGGTCCCCTGTTCTATCATGTGCCTAATGTGAGTTGCATTTGCTCACTGATCGATGCCGCTCTTCGTTCTCTGCCTGGTAATCAGTTTTCTTCTAGAATGCCCATCTCATGTATCAGCAGATCTTTGTGAGCCATTTCTCACATATTCTTACTCCGGTTTTCTACCAGCCATCATTAAAAGAAGTGTATTTCAATTCGTTCTGGCATAAGATATGCTTACATGGCAGCGGAACTACTTCGAACAGCTAGCTAGACATTTATTCACCTCATAGGTGGTTTACGAAATGTCCCTTGTCGGATTTGTATTTGATTTTTGAAGATCATTAGATCAGATTTTTGTAAAAGATCACACTACTGCATTCCCGCGAACTGACTTTATCAACCTTTACCACGTTGGACGTCTAGATTTGGCTGGACAGCTCTCAGTAATGACTTATCAGTCATCATTGAATCTGGTTTCAATAAGGTTTGTGTTGAATTAAGGATGTTTGAGGCGCTGTTCCAAACTTTTCTCTGCTATTTCGGTCGACCAAACTTCCATCGATTACGAAACCGCTGTGCATCATAATGGAAGGCCATGATGTTCGGCTGATGCGCCACATCAGTTTGACTCCCGGACATCATCATATGCTCGTACTTGAGTGATTTTTTATTTAGACAATGAGGTTCTAGTGCCACAAACCTGTAGGGTTTTCACCTCCATCCCGAAACTGTCCTTCGCCGGCGGTTGTGCTCGTTATCATGAATAAACAAAATTTGACTACTACCGAAGCAAATCAGTTGCTTGGAGCTTATCACTATACAAACCGAATACATCCCTCTTAAGATCTGTTGGATGGGATAAAATGGGGGCGATCTCATTCGAGTGCACTAGTCCGTTTTGTCATTCTTTTTTGTTGATAAACTGTTCGATAATGCGCTTCACGCTCCTTCTTCTTGTCCACGTTGTCCTTCAGTGCTGTTTGTCGGCCATCATCGTGGTCGCTTTGAAAGGCATGTTTATTCATGCGGTCGATTTGAAGTATTTGTGGAAGTACTCTATTTGGGATTTTGTGAGTTACTCCTCCTTTCTCTTATTTTGATTGGTTTATCCATATCGTTTTGAGGGCATGTGGAAATTTTATTCCGATACCTAAAAGGAGTTCTGACGTGCAACATGGAATCGCTACCTCTAAAGTTGTGTATTTTAAACGCCCTAACTTAAACGAATCTTGCTGCCCCATTTCTATAGAGACTCACAAAATGCGATCGTTATGCGAAATATCTATACTTTGCCTTAATTTGGTCAATTGTCGCTACTGCTCGTGTCAGATTGTTTGAGCCTCGTATTTGCCCCCCCCCCTAACTTACCACATCCTGCTCACAAAACTTGTGCTTTTCTGAGAATGGCTCAACATTCAGTTCAGACGTTCGAATTTAGATAATAACTCGAAGGATGCAACCTCCTTGAGATGAGATGGATGTCTGTTAGAAATGAAACACTAAATAATTCTGCTATTTCAGTAAAAAAAAACGGTGCACAGAGAAGGAAAAAATTGTTGTTTCTTTCATTCCCGAACATTTTCGTCTTCCTCTAATTCCGCTCGTGCACACGTATTCACAACCGACCGACCGACCGCCCGCCCACACGTCCAGACAGTCTGGTTGTTAACCTTCTTTTGCACGATGATTTTTGACCTCAAATACGGTCTGCTAACGGGTATCGCATTCTCCGCGCTGACGGTAATTCTTCGAACCCAAGCACCACCAACGCGTATCTTGGGTCAGGTGGACGGAACAGAATTGTATCGAGACGTACGCGGAGCGGGGGGAAAGGTGAGTTATGAGTTCAGGTTGCAAACAATTTATGTCTCTTCACGCTCATCATTTTTACAGGGAACAATTCTGATGTGAATGGCCCCAGAGTTTCGATTTATCTACTATTGAGTAATAAAAAGCTATTCAAAAAATTAAATTTTATACTTAA